AATGAGGGAATAGAGATCAAAGAGGTCTATCCCGAGCCAACAATCCTCCCAAAAATAAGCGTAGAAACCATCCCTAACAGAACATTTCACAAATGAGATAGCTTTCCAAGGTTTTTAACGTGCCTTTAAACCCACAAATTAAAGCACACTTAATATGGATGAGGACCATACTTACAATAATCCTATCCATAGTGCATTAGACTCGATAGGGAAACACCACAACCACTTAGCCAATAAGGCCTCATTACACAATCTCAGGTTAACTATGCCCAAACCCCATAGTCTAATGGCCTTGACACCACCTCAGACTTAATCAAATGAGAATCCTCATGTTCATCCACACCCTCCCCCAAAAAGTCTCTCAGAACCTTCTCCACAGTCTTGCTAGACCCCTTTACATACCACTCCATAAGACATTCAAAAAAACAAATTAAATATGCATACATGCACACATAATTCATATATCTAATTAAATTAATTTTCATGCACCAATAAGTGCATGATTCATCTATCTAAAAATGCATTTTGAAGATGAATGAAGTAATGAACCTAATAAATCTAGCTTATAATTAATTTTCACACAAAATGTATAAAATAATTGATACGACATCAATGAGGATCAATATAGTACACTTATAAGGTCACAAATTTTTTAATACTCATCAACTATTTGGACCATTAGATTTAATAAACAAAAATATGGAGATAAAATTAAAATTTTAAAAAACATCAACGGAAGCTTGCACAAATGCAATAGTATAGATAATTTAATCCAGACATAATTACTCACATTATGTCTTATGACAAAAAGTCCAGCAATTAGATTTGTCAATGCCAACACCACTATATTCTCTGCAGAATAGCAAGATAGTACAGAATATGAAGTTTAAAGCGATATAAATTATAATGTGAAGTTGAGAGAGAAAGCCAACAATAGAAAAAAGGTATAGAATATAAAGTTTAAATAGACTAATGTGAAATTTAGAGAGAGAGACCTGAAAATAGAAAATTAGTATAGAATGTGAAGTTTAGATTAGAAAGAGAGACCTGCAAATAGCAAAAAATAGTACAGAACATGAAGTTTAAAAAGCGTAGAATGCGAAGTTCAGAGAGTGAGAGAGAGAGAGAGCAACAGAGAGCAAATTAATAACGAATGTGAAGTTTAAAGAGAGTAGAATTTGAAGTTGAGGGAGAGAAAGAAACTTGCAAATTGTAAATTGTAAATTAGTATAGAATGTAAAGTTTAGAGAGAGAGATTGTTTTACCATTGGAAATTTGGGCAGTGGCTGCAGCTGTTACAATACTTAAGCTTGTGGTGGATTCAGTTAAGCCACAAGCCACCATGCTTTTTAAAACCTCTTGCCTCCTATAACTTCGACTATTGATCTGTTCGGTGGCTTCCATAAATCTTCCATCATCACTATTGCTAATGACCACTTCTACAGAAGAAGCTTCATTGCAGCAACTAATATCTTTTTAAGAGAAATTAATTTGTTATCATCACTAGTCTGTGATTCCACCGGTACAAGTTCAACACCCTCAATGTTCTCACTTGTTTTGGACATTGATGGTTCCAAAGACAGCAATATTTAAATAAAGCAAAGGTCAACATGGTATGCTTGCAAGTGATTTCAATATTCAGCTACTAAATGTTGAAGAGTGTTCTTCAAAATTTGGAAAATATTTTAAAGTGTTTTTTGGAATGGTAAAAAATGTATGAGTTAATCCTATCAAATTATAGGAGATTGTTAGAGAAATAAATAAATTTGCAATTGCAAGAAATCTTCATTTTAATATCAAGTTGATTTAAATGCAAATCATAGTTGAGATGACCTTAACAACAAAGAGAAGTGGAACTATCAAGTTTGTATTCTATTCCATACACTACTTACAACCTATAATTGATATTCATATAGCTCCATGTACCCCACTGTTGAAGAGGATGTATAAAATTCTGCTGCCATAGTTTATCTCGAGTTAAGAGATTTAAAGACAACGGTGTATGAAGGGGAATTGGTCTTAGAAGGTAAGTTTTGTCTAGTTTTGTTTCCATGTGATAATCATTTCATGTCAAATCTTTTAGTGCGCCTCGAGCTCTAAAAAACACTATCAGAGAGGGATTTAGAATCTTATAGTTAAAGAGTGATGTCAAGCATTGAAGGGATTGTCGAAGCCAAAGGATATAAGTCATGAACATCGGAAGCTCACTCAAGCCACCAGAGTTCTACTCTGTGTAAAGCAGTCGAGTCAAGTGTTGCCCAGGTAACAGATACTGCTCACAAAGTGCTTGTCAATGAATTGTTATGATCCTTGTGATGAGGTAGGGGGAAGCTAGTAGGTTCATGAATCTAGTTAGATCCTCTAAGCTATCTAGGGGTGTTCAAAAAAACCGACAACTCAAAAAACTCAAGCAACCCAACCCATATGATTTGAGTTGGTCGAAAATTAATTTGGGTTAGATTAGATTCACTTTTTCTCAACCCAAGTGGGTTGGTTTAGTTCATGGGTCTACATGATTGATCTGAACCAACCCAACTCACGGTAATATATAATCACAATTTTTATAAATTTATTGTTAACTTAACATTAACTCTTACTTCAAGCTTATTTCTATTTCTAAACCAAATTAATTTTAAACTCAACCTAAATTAAGGGTTAGATAATCAGTTGTTCAGAATAGTCAAATAGTTGGCCATTTTGATTACCTTCAATTATAGGCATGTTTGAAAATCATGTACCCTGCCTAATAACTATGAAGTGTAAATTTCGATTGAAATCCGACGGAACCGAGGCAACTTGAGTTGGGTTCATAACTTAATAAGAATTGTTTGAATTATGGGAATTTACAATCCGAACTATTGGGGTTGGGTCTAAACTATCACAGAACCCAACTCCCTCCAACACCCCTAAAGTATCAATTTTGGCAGCAGATTGATAAGGTCGACCAACCACAAGTTTCCACTCATGAAAGGTTTCAAGGTCAAAGATAACATCTCAATTTTGGCAACATGCTGGAGTACAAAGATCCCCTTTTCAAGGATTTCACGACAGATGGGAAGGTGATGGATCGTGCTATCTTTTAGCTAAGAATGAAATTGAGCTCCAGAATACCAAAACAAATAAATAAATAAAATTACACACTTTTAAAAGTAAAAGTAGAACTCGATTATTAGAACTAGAACCCACCGATTATCCTTTGAATCAAAATGAATGCTCCAAAAAGTGCCCTAATTATAAGAAGCTTCGAACGAACTTACATTTCCTATCTTCTTCTTCGTAGTCAGATTCAACTTCTGTGACATTGTAATGCTTTTGCTTTAACTTTGCTTTACCGGTGTCGGCTGCCGGTGCGGCGGTGCGGTGGTCGTCGAAGAGTCTCCGCCGTTGGATGAGAGCGGCTTCATCTCTCTCCTCCTCCTCCACTGCCACCACCACTGCCTCCCATGTAGCTGTTGTTACTTCCATTTGAACCTAAACTAACTCAGAACGGAGCAATGTGATGTAAGAGGGTGCTGAATTTACGGACGTGTTGATTGATATTTGGACAAAAGTCACTCAAATTGTAAAAATTAATAGTTTTTATTTTAATTAATAAATAAAACTTTAATTGTAGTTTAATTAATCTCTAATGGATCAATTCTAATAATTATAAATAAAAATATGAGTAACTCACTCAAGAAAATGTCAATGTCTATAAAAATATCGATGTCGATGTCTATAAAAATGTCGGTACAAAATAATGAAGATTGATGAAAATAGTTTGAATCAGTCAATGCTGTTTAATTATGTTTTATTGATAATTTATAACCAGATCTAGTCCTTAATTATTTAATTCAATAAAATATATATATATATATATATATATTATAATCGAGTTATTAAAAATTGGAAGATATGTTTGGAAATTTTGTAATTAAATTTGAAAAGAAAAATAAGTAAAGTTAAGTTAAAAAATCGAGTCAATATTATTAAATATTGACTACAAAAATAATCTCACGAGAGAGTTGCAATGCAAATATAAAAAATTAATTTGGAGAAAATATGAAACACAAATTTGAAATTTTTTTGAACAATAATTATTTTTTAAGGTATATTTAAAAGAAAAAACATAAAAAGTAAAATAAATAAATAAATTTAAATAATAATATATTATTAGTATTATCAGGAAAAAAATAAGCATCAAGCCATAGTTCTCCTGACGCTCAGTCACAATTCCCACTGTCAGAAACGTGATGAGGGGGAGGGGAGCGCCTCCTATAAAAGGCCCCATCCCCCCATATTTTGGCATCAAGTTGTTTTTTAGTCCATGGGCTAATAGGCTGGGCTTTGTGAATAAGGTCGGCTTCTTATTTAAATTTCGTTTTTTGACGATATTTAGTTATATCGTCGACAAGGGAGAAAACGATTCTCCAATCCCCCTTGTCATGTCGACATATCGATCGATATTTGAAACGTTGGTCAAAAAGAGGACTAAAAGATACAAATCGTCCCTCCCTTTGTTATTTTTTTTATTTTATAAGGGTATAATTATCTTTTGACTTTAAAGTTAAAAAAAACAAACGAAAAATAAAATCTTTTTTTAGGGAATGATATTTGAAAGGCAAGTGTATAGAAGGGGGCGTGTAGAGACTGATTTGACCTAAAAACAGGTTTTATTGCTCAAAAACTCATGCCTTCAGAATTGTTTTTTAATCCAAAACAGCTTTTTCTAACACGTCAGTGTAAATAAATGTACCCAACTATCCTTAATTTTGAATTCATTATAATGTAAAAAGTAAGCGGCATACCTCGGACGAGTTTGACATACTCCCAACCATGTTTTGTTAAAATAACCGCATAAAGTTGTTTATGGGCAAGAATTGAAGTTACCTTACCTTAAATTCCCGACCGTAGTTTGTAAGATACTCGCCCGATGTATTGATTAGTGCAACCAACTCTTCAATTAATGCAAACACCTAACTCGTCCAAACGTTTATTGTTCAGCAAACCATACCTACGAAAGTATTAACTTTCTACCGGTGCATTTTTTACTCAGCTTTTAGACAACGAAAAGAATGTTGCACTCTCAAAAAGTGCACTGCCACGTTTGTTTACATTCAAAGTCACTCTCTCATCTGAGCACTTAGGTTGTTAGACTTTATATTCATGCACAGAGTGCATCTTTGTTTTGTCGTCGTCTTTTTTTTTTTTTTGGAAAGATAGAGTGCATCTTTGTTGGTCAAGAATTCTGCTTTTTTCTTTCTTTTTTTTTGTGAAACTCGGCCTAAGTTCTGTATTTTCACCCAAGTTCTATAGATTGTTAGCAACCCGGCTGAAGTTCTAATTTTTTTCACCCATAAGAACTTCCCCCAAGTTTTGTGAAATTCTCGCCCGAGTTCTGATATATAATTTCATATGTTGTTTTTATTAGAATGTTGTTATTTTGATTCGTCATGCAGGATGTCTTGCCACATTCTTAACTACAGTGGTAAGTGAAATGAGTCACAATATCTCTCTACGAAGGTGGAATTATGGGAGGTTTAAATGTAGACAATAGTATAACATATGATGAGCTCAATAAGTGCTATGTTTAGGCTTACCTGAATAGATCCTGACCAAATCGTTAACTACAGTAGTAAGTGGAATGAGTCACAATATCTTTCTATCAAGGTGGAATTATGGAAGGTTTTACAACTACAACCTTAGATCTTTTTAAGAGGCCGTGCACATCCCTCTAAAGTTCCATTGTACGTATGTACCGTACCAAAGGAAAGACGCGGCAGTGGTAGCACTTCACAGCATTGCATCATTCCCGAAACCCAAGAATTTCCATTTATTTCCTGACTAGTTAGGGTTAAATGTTCTTTATTATGTCCCCTCAGTTATTTCTGTTCATTCCACGCTTCCAGTGTTGCTCCCTCATGTTTTATCCCATCAATAACCCCGTTAACGGACATTGTGGTCCCATGCAACTTAGGTGATGATGAACCAAACTATTACAGTTAATGAGACGAGGATGATGAGAATGACGTGGAGTACGAGGTCGAGGATAATTTTGGGGATAATGATGAGATTGATTGTACCGAACCTAATGATACGGAGTTTGAGAACGACAATATTGAGTTTGAGAAAGATGTTGAGATTGACAATGAGGATGAGCTAGAGCCAGTGGATGTAGCCACTTCATCTTTTGCACATTTAATTGAAGTGCACACGGTAAGTACAAATGCACCTTGTGCAACTATTCAAGCTTCTTGTTCCAGAGATATCACTAGGACAAGTGATGAACTTGGTTTGTCAGAAGATGACATTGCGGTAGGGAGTACTTTCTGATCGAAGGTGGAATTGCAGTTCAAACTCTCGGTGTTCGCAATGAGATTGAATTTTGGTTCAAACTCTCAGTTTTATTAATTAAGGAATTGTTTGGGGTTTTGATTTTCCTAGGTTTTCAAGAATTGAGAACATTAGTGGTCCTTGGTTGAGATGGAAGATGACTTGGGACAACCAGTGAAGTGGAGGATTTGTGAGTTCATATTTTGAGATTTTGCAAAGAAGAGAATGTAGTTGTAGGAAAAGAAGAGGAATGAGACTGCTGCGGAAGCTTGTGGGTTTTCTTGAGGTTGATTAGAAATGATTTAGTGGTTGGAAAAATGGAATGTTTTGAGCATCATTGAGAGGGCTTTTGGATGGGTCAAGGAAGACGATGATGAATAGTAAATGAGGGTGGTAGTTTTTGGAAGAGAGAGAGAGTATTTGTGTGTTAAAATAAAATAAGAAAGAAAAAATGAATTGTTGGAACTTGCCGGCAAATCACTTGTGATTGAAATTGGAAGGTAAAGAACTAATAAATATAGAATTTGCATAATCTGGTGCAATTTAAGTTTTGACCATGCATCATTCCTCCTCACAAAAGGTTTGTTTTGGCAGCGTCTAACTTATATATTTGTTTTTTTTTCTTTTTAGAATTTTGTAGCTGACCAAGAATATAATACATTTTTGCTCAAGAATCTAAAATGTTATATAGAAAAGAGATAGGTAACTAAATTTAGAATTTAGAATTCGTTGCAATTTGATATTTCTTGAGCAATACTTAGATGATCTTCTTTGATATTTGTTTTGCAATTTTTACTCGATATTACTTTCATCATATTAGAAAATATCTTATTTTTGTCTTTAAACATTTTATTTATGTCTTTAGTCGGAACTCAAATCATATGCCTCTCAAGTGATTGATGGTACACTTGACATGAATAATGACTAGATTTTTGTGCAAGTCTTTCGACCAGAGAAACATGGGCATGTTCGAGGTTATAGAGCCGGTGTTACTCCTTCTGAGTTGTTTGGATCATCTTCCAAAGCTCGTGATCTTGAACGACGTCTTAACGAGTCATAATAATGTCTTCAAGAATCTGAACGGCAAAGAAAAGTTAAGGTACAATAACTCAAATATCAAATTATTGAATTAGAAAATCGTTTTGAGCATCAATTTCAAGCAATGATGGCTAAGATGATGTGAAAAAATCCTAAAGTAGGGGTTAGAAATTTTTTTTGTTTTAGGTATTTGAAGTATTTGTATTATTTGAATTAGCTTTAGAAATATCGTGTTTTGTAGTAACTATTGGTTATAGTAACTAATATTTTGATTGTGTTGAATATAGTTTTCAAATTATAAATTTTAATAGGAAAAGTAGTTTATAAACAAAGAATATTAAATTAATATTAATTTCAAATGCTATTATTCTATTTGATTTTTTTTAAGGATTTACAAATGTCAATAAAGAACTTTTTTTGAAGGTTTAAAAATGGTTGAAATAATATTATGATCTTTGGAAAATAATGAAAATCTTCGAAAAAAATAATTGAAACTAACTAATTATTGACAACTAATTTAAGAATTATCGAAGGCTTATAACTTTTGAAAAATATGAATTTTTGAAGGCGGATTGAACCTTTAAAAAATATGAATTGTTGAAGGTTAACAGCACTTTCAAAAAGCTTTTTCGACGGGACCTATTTCGACACTTTTTGAAGGTTGAGTAAACCTTCGAAAAAAATTTATCGAAGGTTTATTTTATACTTATGACCTTTGAAAATACTTAATTTTCTTGTAGTGAACTCAAATAACCTTCAAAAGTTTTTGGATGCTCAAATGATCCATCACTCAAAATGTGCTTTTGTGACTCACTTTAAGCATTAATGATGTGTTAGAGGAGATGAAATAATCATAATGCCCTTAATTATTAGAGATGACTGCTAGAAAAAGCCACGATCGAGGTCGTATTAAACCTTGCTCGGGAATCATTTAATTCACACCAACTAATGTATCACTGCTTTTACCCAACCAATTTGTACATGTCATTACTGATCTCAGAGAACAAAAGTCCTTATCATGAATATTCTCTATGCACAATCATACAAAATCTTAAAAGTGTCCTTGTTTTACTTGCTTTTATTACAGTTTGAGTATGGTTATGGCGTGGGGTTTTTTCATTTTTAAACTCAGTTTCATATTTCAGCATGATTATGCGAAGGTTGACTATTAACCTCGTGCGAGAGTTATTGTTTCCCGACCGAGGTTCATGCCTAGGGTCAACGGTTAGAGATAGCAAAAGTTGACGCGACCTTACCCCGGCCGTGGTGTTGGATTTCAATAATCTCAGGCGGCAAAATGGAGGCCCTGTCCGAGGTTTTGTTAGTTTTTTTTTTCTTTGTTTATCTTACCGTTGGTTTATTTTTTTCATCTCTAATTTTCTTGTACTTGTGCTTTGTCATTTGCAAAACAGAATGATTAATCTTTTTGTTACTTGAGCATAGTTCAAATTTTCAAGATCAGTTTACATTCTGTAACATTCCTCGGGCAAGATCGAGCCTGGGAAAATTCACAGAACTTACACTATACTTAGTTTGAAACGTTGTTCGAGGTTTGGTAAGCCTCTGTCAATTTTCTCGGGATCAACCTCGAGCAAGGTGGAGCCTGAGGTAATAGAAAGACGCTCAACCTCTAATGATGTTTGGGAGAAATTTCAAACCTCACTCGATGTTTCTAAGCTTCTGGAAAATTCCTTGGTTCCAACCTCGAGTGAGATCAGGCTTAAGAAATTTTACAAAGGCATAGAAACCTCGTGCGAGGTTTCTAATTTCTTCCAAACTTCTCTTAATGTTGAGCCTCTTTCAATTACATCGAGCTCCACCTCGCTTGAGGTCGATCCCAAGAAAATTGACAGATGCTTACGAAACCTCAAGCTACGTATCGAATTTCTTCAACCTCGCTCGAGGTCCATCCCACTTCGTTCGAGGTGCTTCTTCTTCTTCAACCTCCAACCACGTTACCTCAAATATTTCAAATCAACCTCCCACAACCTCAATTCCAATGGAAGAACATGGAACAAAAAATCAAGAAAGAACATAGAACGAAACAAACAAGAACACCGGACAACGAAATCAACGGAAAAAAAACTAGATCGGTGCAATATTATTCATGTATTGATTCACTAAACATCGAAAAATTGAATCTATGGAAAAAAAAACTATTCAACTCCTCAACACACATAAAATCGAAGCCCTAACCCTGTACATTGACGGAACAATACAACAATTAAAAGAAACATAACTTAACTCGAAGATTAAACATTTTTCTTTCACTTTGTTTCGAAACCAATCACCAAGAAAAACGAAAATGAAGAAGCAATTCGAAGGAATACGAAGAAAAAAAAACAGAAGAAGAACAGTGAGACTAAAAACAAAGAGAAAGGGAAAAAGTGAACTATTTGATTTTTTAAATAAGGGGTAGTAGAGTAATTTTGCTACCTTTTAAATTTAATAAAAGGCAAATTTCAAAAACCACCCCCAAAGTATGGTGGTCGTTACAATTACACCCTTAAACTTTCAATTCTAAAAATTAAACCCTTGAACTTTTACAAATGAAAAAATTAAACTCTCAAACTTTCAATAGTAAAAATGAAATCTCTAAACTTTCACATATGATAAAATTGTACCCTCCAAGTTAAAATTAAACCCTAAATTTTTTTTAAATGGTATTTTTTTACAATTCCGTCCATATTATGTACCGAAAATATTCTCATCTTCATTAATTTTAAATTCAATGAAGTTTTTTTTGCTCTTCAATATCTGATTTTGTAGACAATTTTCCTCGAGACTTGCCGATAAATATGGAAAGAGTGTTGCTCAAATTGCTCTCAGGGACGTCGAAATCCGAGAGATTGCTCAAAGTTTTTAAGTTTAAGCTTACAAAAGAAGACATGAATAATAATTCTACCGGCGGAATTGATAGGAAATACCAAACGCGCCGCCAAGTTTTGGGGCATAGATTTGTACGCACAGGTAATTAATAAATCTGATACTTTTCAAGATCTGATGTTGAAAATCGAAATGGAAAATAATGTCCACTGTTCTGTTAAATCCCTCACAAGTTAATGAATGATAGAGCATATTCTCATTTGTGAACTACTGCTTGTCTGCAAAATCGAATATCCACGAACAGAAAAAAAAAATTTAATTTTACAATTGTCAAATAGATACAAATTTTCAAAATTTTAGGGTTTAGATTTTACAATTTTTGAATTAGAGGGTGGAATTTTATCATATGTGAAAGTTTAGGGGTTTAATTTTTACTATTGAAAGTTTGAACGTTTAATTTTTTCATTTATAAAAGTTCGAGGGTTTAATTTTAACAATTGAAAGTTTAAGGGTGTAATTGTAACAACCACCATACTTCAGGGGTAGTTTTTGCAATTTGCCCTTTAATTAAATATTCAAGTGGGTCACACAAGCACATTTTGAGGGAATGAGTGATTTGAGTATTCCAAAAACTTTTGAGAGTTATTTGAGTCAATTTTCCAAGATATTAGACGAGGACGAATGGAAGAGAAAAATGAAATTAAAAAATAAAAAAGAAAAAGCCATGTAAATTCAAATTTATAAAAATTGCCACCTCATTTTAAAATTACAATCTCAACTATGCCATGTCATTTTTATGTTAGATAAGTAAGAGTAAAATAGAGCAGGATCATTTAGTACCATTTCTCGATCCTCAAACTAAAGTCTTATTTGTTGAGGTAGTTGAAAACTCAGATATTAAAACGGTACTTTACCCCTAAAAATCAATTCCCACCAAAGCACAATAACTCTTACAATAGTGGATAAATAAAATTTTCACATACAATTATAATATAGTCTTCTACAAATAAATTCTCTCTCACAAAATAAAATAAATACTGATGCATGAATTTCCCCTAATTTCAAATTGTCAGGTCGTTATTTTGAATTAATGGTAAAATTATATATTATTAAATTTCCGATCCATTACAAATTAACATGTATCTCTAAATTAAATTAAGAAGACATAAATTTGGAAAATCATATAATCCAATTATATTTTGTTATTTTTATACCTCTGAAATTTTAATTTTCTTAAATATAACGTTTTTTTGTGTTTGTCTGTCTCTAAATATTAGTTTGGATGGCTTGAGATCTCAAGTAATATCCTTGAAGTCTTGAGTTCAAACCAATATAGGACACAACTCCGACCAAGCAATGACTCCATTCCTCCAGAAACTAAAGGACAAAAAAGGGAAAAAATCACAGATTTTTCCCTTTCCATTCCTCTTTCTCCTCCAGGTTACCGCTGTGGTACGGTGCTTCTGTCACTTGCTCTCATTGGGGGAGGGATCAAGGAAGGGGGTGGCAAGAGAGAAAGTCGAAAAACCGATCCGACCGACCGATTTATATTAAAAAAAAATCCGAAGTTTTATTCTAGTATTCCACGGGAGAGAGGAGAGCTACAAGAAGATGGAAAGAAAAAAGGATGGTAGGAGTAAGGAGAAGGAAAGTGGGAGAAAAAGAAAAAGAAAAGAGAGGGAGAGGGATTGAACTCACAACCTTTTAGTTTGAGATATATGATAATTATCGTTGAGTTATGCTCGCTTTGTCCCTTAATGTTACTATTTTTAAAAAATAATAATAAACATAATATTTACGATCAATAAATGATGATAAACATATAATATTACTACAAATAATATTTTAATTTGAAGTGAGAAAAAAGTAATTAAAAAAATGGCGAGAAATCTTGGGAGCGATGATGGGATTATGGGAAAAATTATAAAATAAGGAGTTAGTTGTATGGTAGAATGAGTGTTAACGAGGAGAGAGAAATTTACCTGGAAAAGCCATTAATGTGAATCATGAAATTATGGAGGAAAATATTTTATTATTAAAATACATCAAAAATAGAGTGTATTTGAAGGTGATGGTAGAAGAAGTGATTTTGAAAAAGAATGATTTTAAATTTTTCTAAAATATATTTTTTTTAGTAGGTAAATTGTTTTCTCAAATTACCTCCTAAGTGGCTTATTTTCTCATGAACTTTTATCATTCATATTGCTTCATTATTTTTTCTCCTAAGTAGTACTAATTGAGTTTCTAATGAGCCCACACCAAAGTCTAGACTGCAACTAGTCAAGTTTCTTGTGAAGTTTGAATGGATGATTTATGTTTTTTGAAAGAAAGGAGAAGCTAAATTTTGAATATTTATAATCCCCATTGTTCAACTCATAATAGCACAATCAATATAAATGATAATAAAAATGGCAATAGGATAGGTTGCGATTAAACATCATTTTTTTTTACTGGACATAAACTTCAATTAAAAAAAAAAAGGTAATAAATGTCTTATTCACTAAACTAGATTCAGATCGACATTATAATAATTAATTTTAATCTTAACTAATTATTAATATCAAACGTTAACTAACAACAATTTGTAATGCCACTATTCGGATTAGGATCCTCTGCGATCTAGTTCGATCACCTTCTTGACTTGAGTTGCTTTCAAGAGTGAATATTATCCCTAAAAACTGAGCTTATTCAATTTAAGATTGCCTCCAAGTTAGAAAAGGAATGGTACACCTTTCTTAACCATATTTGCATGATCTTAAGACTACTCTAATTCAGATGTAGTGTCAGTGTCAGTTCCTCTCTACTCGAATATCATACAAGTTATTGATTAATCTATGTATCAAATTGATCAGAATAGTTTGAGCTTAGTTTCAATTTTGTCCCTATAGTTTTAAAAGTTTGAATTTCACCCTCACAATATAAATAAATTTGTTGACAAAACTTGTAAAAAGCAAATACAACAACAATTAAACTGAAAACGTTTAACTTCCAAATATTATAGATATTCATGTCTTTAAAATAAAAACAACTTTAGAATGGTACACAAACCACCATGGTGAACAGTAGCACCAAGTTTATTTAGAAAATAAATAAACATTATTATCACATGAGATTAGAGCGTTTTCAAAATATAAAGCTATTAGCACAGTTGGAACTGACAGGATTACAGTTGATAAGAGTGACACCATCATCGTCAAAACACATCACAATCTCTATCAATCGGATGTTGCTGCCAGTTCCTCTACAGCGAAGAACAGGTTCCTTCCCAAAGTGTGTTCGTAGTGCACTCTGTACTCTTTGCTTTGACTTGCTGAGCCCGTTTGGTGCTAACCCACCAACTTTGAGGGCATTCATAAGATCGATACTATTTCTCATATTAATAGCCATTTGGAAGTACGCTTTCATGTTGAATTTACTCTCTGAGCAAACCCCATGCTTGTTCCACTCATGTGACCAGAAAAATTTGTTGTCTCCCGTTATAACGTTCGGCCATACTCTATTCAAATCAGTTTCTAAACTTGAAATCTGAAACAAAAACAATATTCTATCCTTAAAATCTAATATTATTTGGTGCTAAAGTCGTATATCAATTTAGTGGAAACTCAAAATTATACATTTTAATTTTATAAATATAATATATACACATACATACATAAAAAAAATTAAATTTTACACATAGATATATGACTTTAAACTTTAAATTTTAAATTTAAATCTCTCAAGTACTTGAAATGACTTTAAATTTTAAATTTTGTTTTGATTTAGAAAGATTTTAAGAAGTTGTCGCTGAAAAATAAAATAAAATAAAAAGTTTAGATCGGGCAAAGTTAAAAATAGTGTCATTATAAAAATTATAAAAATAAGATACTTTTGAAAATAAAGTTTAAAAAGTGTCGTTTAAATAACAGAATTTCATTTTAAGATATTTTTTCAAACTAATGTAAAATTAGTGATTTTTGCCATATCAAAGATCACGTGAATTCCATGTTATGTGGATTCTAACTATAGGTTTAAATCACATCATCTCGATTTATTAAAAAAATATTAAAAGTATGACCATATATTTTTTTAGTACAACATATAGAGGGAATTGAACTTAAAACATCTTTATTACATATATATATGTTAATTACCGTTGAATTATGCTGCAAATATGATCCTGTTAATTTGAGTTAAAATTATATGAAAACGTGTGAATTCCTACCCTTTATGTTTGTAATTTTTTTTCAAAATAAGACAAGATTCATATTTCAAACCACTCTAATTCTGGCCATAAAAAAAGACAACATAATTAATTTAAAACTCATGTAGATTTAAAATCTCTCAAAATTTACGGGAAACAAAGAGAGCAATAGATGCAAATTAGAGAAAAACTAGGAAATCTTTAAGGTTTGTTTGAAAATGATTTTAAAATGAGTGATTTTAGCGGAAAAAAAAAGATTTTTATATAGTTATCCTAAGCTTTCATTATACACTTTTTCAAGAGATTTTTATATAATTAAAAGAATGTTAGAGAGAATTTTGACTAAAGTTTTAGAGAGAGAAAAGTGAGAGGGGAACAAAAATCTTAGAGAGGGAAATTTTAGAGGGGAAGAGACAAAAATTTTAGACACGAAGATAAATTTAGAAAAGAGATGAAAACCAAAAATTTAGAAAGATATTACCAAAATTTTGGAGAAAAAAATTATAGAGAATAACAAAAATTAAAGATAGAATAAAGTTAGACAGTGCAAGAATTTTAGAAATGAGAAAAAAAAATCAAATTTTAAAGCGACGGGAATCACCTTAGCATCCCAACCTATACCCTTAAAAGTGATTTTGTATTTTTTTAAAATCCCTTAAGAATTATTGTGAATTATGTTATCTTCAAATAATAGTGATTTTAGCGATATCCAAATCATTCTTAGATAGACCCTCTAAGTATGATATATGCTTTTTTAAATTACGGCAAATTAGTGAAATTTGAGAATTTTGGTGTTTGAGTTTTACCTTCGTGAAATCGAAGGGAGTGCCAGGGCAATTAACAACAGAGGTGCCTCCCTTTTGCGGCCACACGCCATGGATTGTGAAGGTTCGTAGCCCTTGTCCGACACATCGTCCTTGTTGGAAACTACAAACAGCGGGTGGCCATTGTTGAACGAACCAGAAGTCATCAAAAGTTTGTGATTTTACAATGGGGAGAAAGATGGTTATTGCTAAGACAAACATGAACACGATTTCTCTCCTCGACGTTTTCATGTCTCCTCTCGTGGTTTCAAATTCGAACCTACCGAATTTAAAAGCTTGGTGAGAATGGTGTTCCTCTCAGCCCCTATTTATTCTAAAAATTTAAAGATTTGTTTGTTTCTCTTGCAATTATTGTGGTTATGGGCTTTGAATAATTAAGAATAAAGAATTATCCAAAGCTTCAATATTACACTATTCAATTTTGGGTAACTGTCGGAAACGTATGAGGAGGAAGGGTGGCGTCTATGGCTTGTCTTCACAGGAGAGATTTATGAATTTCCTTTAATTATTATTTCTAGTTCTTTTGTTTTATTCTTTTTAATTTTATTTTTATTTTGTAAACACAATAAAATAAAATACAGATGAAATTCCAACTTATAATCTTTTGATTAGAAATTGATATATTAACCCGTTGAACTAAGTTTAAGTCGACTTAATAATGATAGAATCTTTCAACTTTCATTTTTTATATTTTAGTCAAGGTTTTCCGTAAAAATTATTTTAGTCATTTGGAAGAAAAACTTGTATTTAAAGATTATTTGGGTTGAAATCGTCCTTGAACATTTAGTGTTCACAAAACTAGGTTCTATCATCAACCAAACAATGTTGAACCTTATACATCCATAGAAATATCGACCCTGATAAATATTTCAAAAAAAAAAAAAACTAACAAAAAGACCTTATGGAAACCAATTGATAATTTTCTTAAAAAAATAAATTACTATGACAACGTGTGGAGCGAGGCATTCAAACTCACAATCTTTTAGTAGGAAATAGTTGCCTTAATCAGTTGAGCTATGCTCGGATTTAAAAAATAAAATCATATATAAATTATTAATATTTATATCATATTCATACTACGAATATTTCAAATCATTGTTATGACTATGAATTTTTTAAATTATTCTCTAATTATTATAAATATTTAACTTCATCAAATATAAAATGTACCTAATTATAATATTTGTTGGGTTTAAATATTATTTGGTCGATGTGTTTTTAGCTTTAGTACATTTTGGTTATTATTCTTTTAAAACATTCATTTTTTGTCCATGTATTTTGATTTTTTGTTCATTTTAATCATTATTCGCTTTCAAAACATTTGTTATACTTTTAAAAGTATCAATTTTGGTCTTTGTTTGTAAAAGTTTAACATGAATTCTAATTTTATTGAGTTTAGTTTCATATCGGAATTGTAACAAAAATTAAAACAGATAAAAATGTAAATGAATGTTTAAAAAAGTAGCTTTCAAAAAATATATATGAAAACAGATATTTTGAAAGTCTAGGGACTAAAATTGACAAAACTCAAAAGTACCAGGACCAAAATAAAAATTTTGAAAGTACAACTAGGATTAAAATAAACAAAATTAAGAATATAGGAACTAAAATAGTATTTAAATATAGTTTTTTTTAGTACATTTAAATATAGTTGTTTATCAATATTTATAGGGTTCTATCTCAAAACCAATTGGCAATAAGAGGAATAGTCTATGTCTATTATAAACCTATGTAATGTAATTTCTTTTATCAATGTGAGATCCTTAACATTGTTGACTAATCACGGAGACTTGAATTAGGTTCAACTGATCAAATATATATAACAAAAGATATATTGATGATATGTGTGCAAGATCTTCTCAAGAGCTATTCGCTCAACTTTATTTTTATATGATTTTGTTGGGAATATATATAAATGAATTAAATTTATCCAATCTATCTTGCTTAAGTTTTTGGGTTGAGTGGTGGTTTATTTATCTTTAACATGATATCAGAACAAGAGGTCCTGTGTTCGAACCCACATCATCAGTCCTTTGTTGATTCCTCCTAAGACGAATGAATAAATCAGGGGCTCATAGTATCTGAGCTTTCGACATACGTCTTCTTCCTTCGATCTTGGTAACACAGTCGCCGCGTCGACCCTATTCCAAACTTGCCAAATTTTATTATTTTTTTCTCCCTTCTAAATTTCAGTTTTAATTACCCCACCCACATTTCACCCCTTTTCCATTTTTGGCCTCATTCCCACATCATCTTTTACTCAATTCCCACATGAATTTTTTTTTCTTCCCCTCTCCCACATACATTTTGGCATAACCCACCTTCTATTTTATTTTTTATTTTTTATTTTTCTCTTTCTCATTCAATTCTTAATTATCCCAATTCTCTTTCCCACGTAGCGAATTACACAATGACCGATACAAATACTTCTTTCAAATTCCACACAGAAATCAACCAATTTCCCACATCTTTCACCCTCGATCGTCAATTCTCTCCTTCACCGCTATTCCTACTCTCAAATATTTGTACTCTTGTTTCTGTCTGACTTGACTCCAACAACTACTCTTTGCTATTATCTTTAACTCGACTCCATCTTGAAGGCACACAATCTCTTTGGTTACATTGACGGCTCATGTATTTGCCCCGATCAACATATTCAACAAGGCGAGACAACAAAGCTCCATCCCAAATATGCCTTGTGGCACTCCTAGGATCATGTATTGCGAACTCTAATCAATTCTATGTTGTCCCAGTCCGCCCTATCTCTTGTTGTTGGTTGCACTAGCTAGAAACAGGTTTGGGAATCTCTTGAACATCGTTACTCATCTTTTACTCATACTAATATAATTGATTTGAAATCGGAATTGCAGAAAATTCAGAAAAAGGGGATAGAGTCCATCGATGATTATGTTCAGCGAATCAAAACTATTCAGGACAAGTTATCTACTATCTCTGTCCATATCGACGAGGAGGACATCCTAATCTACACTTTGAATGGCTTGCCTCATGAATACAATGATTTTCGTACCTAGTTTTGGGTATGGTCCAGTCCTGTTCGTGTGGAAGAACTTCATGTTCTTCTTAAAACAAAAGAAGCTGCAATCTTTTCTCAAGCCAAAGGTGTAGAGTCCATATTCCAATCCACTGCCATGATGGCCAATTATCGCCCACTGTCTCATCATTCTCGTGGACGAGGTCGCCATCCTACTCGTGGTCGGAACACCCGTGGAGGTAGATGTAGTTTTTCACCATTTCCACCTCGGTCTCAGTCCTCATTCTCGGCAACAACGCCAGCTTCTTAGGGTCCCTCAACACCTTCTCCATCTGAGGTTCCACAGTCTAACAAGGTACACTGTCAGATTTCTGGAAAGTTTGGGCATAATGCATTAGACTGTTACAATCGAATGAACCATACCTTCCAAGGTCGCTACCCGCCAGCCCAACTTACTGCCTTTGTTGCCTCCACCTCTATGAATGCTGGAAAATGTTCCTATTGGCTATCTGACACTGGTTGCAATGCTCATCTGACCTCTGATTTTGCAAACTTTATCCGTCTCAAATGAGTATAATGGCGAGGAATAGGTGATTGTTGGTAGTGGTCAAGCCTTGTCCATCACTCACACAGGTTCTGGCACTCTTACTATCCCATCTTCCTATTTTACTCTTCATAATCTTTTCTTTGTTCCCAACATTAGATCCAAACTTACTTTCAGTCAATCAATTATGTCGCGATAATAATTGCACTTTTCTCATCGCCTCTGACTTTTTCTCCATCCAGGATCGACGCTCGGGAACAATCCTATTTCAAAGGTCTAGTCAAAATGGTCTCTACCCCATCCAGTACACTACACCGTCAACTCCCTCTTCGTCTTCCTCAGGATACAAGGCACATCTTCACGGCCTTGATTCTCATCTATGGCATGATAGGTTAGGCCACCCAAATAAATCAATTCTTGAGTTGTTACGAAAGAATTCCTGCATCTCCTTTTCTCAGTCTTTTAATTGTGTTTGTTAACATTGTTTGTCTGGAAAAATGTGAAAACTACATTTTCATTGATCACATAGTATATCTGTGACCCCTCTTAATATAGTTCACAGTGATGTCTGGGGTCCTTCCCCCAAAGTATCTTTTAATGGATTTAAATACCATGTGTCATTTGTTGATGACTATTCTCGCTATACTTGGATTTTCCCTTGGTTAAAAAATCTGACGTTTTCTCTGTCTTTTCTAAATTTAAACCTATGTTGAAAACTTGTTGAACTCTCACATGAAAATATTTCGACGTGACAGTGGTGGTGAGTTTATCAAATCTTCTATGCATTCCTTACTTGATTCACATGGCATTCATCATGCTTCTTGCCGTTATACCCTAGAACAAAATGGTATTGTTGAATGCAAACATAAACACATTATAGAAATTGCATTGTCACTTCTTTCTCGTTCTTCTGTGCCCTTACATTTTTGGTATCATGCCTTTGCCACTACTGTATTTCTCACTAATCGTCTTCCATCTCCTTCCCTCGATAATGTTTCCCCCTTTGAACGTCTCTTCTCTTCTCCAATTGATTATAAACACCTCAAAGTATTTGATTGTGCTTGTTATCCCTTACTTCGTCCCTATTCAAAAAATAAGTTACACTCTCGCACAAGTCGATGTGTTTTCCTTGGATACCCTCTCGGGACAAAAGGATACATTTGCTTTGACCCGTGTTCCGACAAATTCTTTGTGGCCCGTCATGTAATTTTTGACGAAACCTGCTTCCCCTTTGCCAAACAATCTTCCCCTCAGACCTCCAAAGTTCCTCAACCCATACCTTTTCTCTCCCTCACATCCTTATTCCTCCAACACCATCACCAATCCAACCTTTTCCTTCTAACCCCTCGATCTTTGACCAGCAACTAGTCATGCATGATTCACCCACGAGCTTTCCCACTGCCCTACCCATACAGACGACCACTTGTTCCCCTATCTTCAATGTCACCAACACCCTACTACAATCCACATTCCTCTACAGTTAAGTTATTCCCCTACCATTCCCTTGCCGGACTTTTCTTCCATCATTCCAACTGATAAGATATCCTTTCCAATTCTTATCTCTTCTTTGCCAACTGATCCGCACCCTTCGTCACCTGTTCCTCCCACGATGCCAGCAGTCTCTAATACTCATTCGATGCAGACACATTCCAAGTCTGATATCTCTAAAATTAAGATGTGCTATTTATCTACCACTTCCAACTTGGATAGTCAACCTAATTCATTTAC